CATTAGTCACATGAAAACAGAAGTATAGTGTGTAGTGTTTCCAGCAGCAGGTGACGCTGCAGTGAAGTGACTGTCTGACGTCTCTGTAATCGTCCTCTCTGTGTCTCTGCAGGTGAAGTCTGTCATCAACCTGCTGTTTGCTGCCTACACCGGGGACGTCTCTGCTATGAGGAGGTGAACAGCTCACACTCTTTACATTTACTCACTTCCCCTTAGTCGCCCAGTGGAGTCCATTCCAAACTATTTCTATAGATGTTTTCCTAATGCTCACAAAGAAAGAAAGATGGAGATAATCCTCCCAGAGAGGACATCTTGCCTCTACTACCTGGAAGAATTACTCAGATATTTGACTTAAAGGGGCCATATTCTGCTCATTTTCAGGATCATATCAGTATGTAGTGTCTACTGGGACATGTCTCCATGCTTTAATGTTCAACAAGCTCTTGTGCTGCAGCACCTCTTTTCACCCTCTGTCTGAAACCAGAGGCCAGTCTGCTCTGATTGGTTAGCTGGCTGGCTCTGTTGTGGTCAACCGCTTAGAGATGTCCCGCCCCTTAACCTTAGTCACGTACAATGTGTCGGAGCGCTTGCCAATAGAAGCGTGAGTGTTACATAGTGATGTCACTATGTTACAGATGTAAACAAAGGAGTCCAATGGAGACGTTTCAGGCATTATTAGGGAACACGGGGATCTTAGCCTTTGCAGACCATTTACATGCACAAAAACCTATATAACACACTATAGGAAAGAGAAGACCCCGAAAGTATAAGATGGCCTCTTTAAATGTCCTTACAGGGTAAATAATAGAACTTTTGTGTGTAGGTTTGCGCTGTCGTCTGTAGACATGGAGCAGAGAGACTACGACTCGAGGACAGCCCTGCATGTGGCAGCAGCTGAAGGTACGGAGAGTCAACATTTTCACAAACACCGCTGTACAGCGTGCATTAACATCTGACACTGACAAAAGTATGTCAACATATTTTCTTTAGTTTTGGTCTGTGGGCAAGTAAGAACAAATCTAAATAGTTTTCCCCCCTTCATATATAACTTCAGAACAGGTCTAAGACCTTGCAAGGTAAAAGAAAGAGTATTTTTTCAAGGATCATTTTCAAATGTGGAAAAAGATGGAAAAATATTTAGCAGGTGTCATTATTCAGCATATTTTGTTAGTGTAGTTAGTAAGCCACAATGACCGCACCACTATCAGATACAGGTTAGTTTTATTATTTGTCCATGCACACAATAGGTATGGTGTTTTGGCAACATGTGGTAAAATGACTGTCATGTCTTTAAGGTTCTTTGTATAATGTGGTGCAGTTCAGCCTCTTGTGGCCAAGACAACAATAATAGTACAAAAATAAACAATCCTGACAAAACCCAACACCTTTTTTTTTAATACTTATTCTTATGTGAAAACATAGGAGAGGAAACTGTTCAAATCAGATTCAGGGAACTGATTATCAGAAATCATCAGGCCATGGCATTGTATCCAAATAGAGAAATGTAATTGCTACTGCATACATTTATATTTTATTCTTGGACAATGTCTTGTCTTGTCTTGTGGTGTCAGTTTTGGTGAAAGGACCTTAGCTGTTTCAACACGACAGAAAAGTAATGTTCAGTCATCACGTATACTGTAACACTTGACTGTCCTCATCATTACTTGCAGAGAGGTTATATAATATGTAGTATTTCATATTCTGTCTTCTGCTGTGCTTCAGGACACACAGAGGTGGTGCGCTTCCTCCTGGAGGCCTGCAAGGTGAACCCCATCCCCATAGACAGGTGAGTGCTGACCCCCCAATCTCTAAGAACCTTCCGTTGGATAATCAGTGCAGTGATGAATATATTTCACGTTGTGTAACCCCAGCTGATGTGATGAGTCGCTTCTCATTTCTTAAACAACATGTCAGAAGACATGTCCTGTGTGGGAAAAGGATGTTCATCAGTTTCAGAAGGGTCAAATGATTGGCCTGCTTCAGGCAAAGAAAATAACTAAGGATATTGCTGAAACTACTCAAATCTGGTTAAGAACTGTCCAACGCATTATTAAAACCAAATCAATGAATCCAGATTGACCCTGTTCCAGAGTGATGGGCGCACCAAGGTCAGAAGAGAGGCGGGAAAGTGATGTACCCATCATGCCTTGTGCCTAGGGGTGCTGCAGTTAGTCAGGTCTAGGTTCAGCTACGTTTCCAAAGAATAAGGTCAGCTGACCACCTGAATATACTGAACGACCAGGTCTTTCCATCAATGGAGTGTTTCTTCCCTGATGGCACGGACATATTCCAAGATGAAAATGCCAGGATTCATGGGGCTCACATTGTGTTGAGTGGTTCAGGAAGCAGGAAGCATCCTTTACACATGGATCGGCCTCTAGAGTCCAGACCTCAGCCCCATTGAGAGTCTTTGGGATGTTCTGGAGAAGACTTAGCGCAGCGGTGCGACTCTCCCATCGTCTATAAAGATCTTGGTGGAAAATTAATGCAACTCTGGACAGAAATACATTTTGTGACATATAAGTTTATCGAAATGATGCCACGGCGACTGAGTGCCGTACTCAAAGCTAAAGGCGGTCCAACCAAATATAGTGTGCAACTTGTTTTTGGACGGGCAGTGTATGCAAAATAGCATGTCGAAATTTCAGAAGAAAAGATGATATAGTATTTATAAAAAAAAATTAAAAAAACATACAGCATAGTATAGAGTGGTGCAGGGATGACGTATTTACCCAAGTAAGCTGCGCATGACAAAAAAGCTATGGGATTTCTCCATAGGATTTTGGAAAATAGCTCAAAATAAGGTCTGGCACGTTTTGTTCAGCCGGATAATATCCACATGTCAACCCTACTTTTATCATTTCAAATCATAAATCTAATCGCCAGAAGCAAAATGCTAACGTTATGCTATAAACGAACTACAGCAGGGTCGCATGACTTCAACGTTAAGATCGATATTCAAAAATACAGATTCAAAATTGTACAAGTTGAAGCGTTTGTTTTAAGAGTTTGCAGTAGGCAGGTACTTGCTTTCAAGCAGAACAGGGGCAAACAAACTTAGTGTGTTCGGCGTAATGACGTACAAAGTCCTCGACAACTTCTGTAGTCCTATTCAGCCACTTGTTAACAACCATCGTTTTTTTAGACACGTAAACTCTTCAAGAATCAGCAGTGAGGTCACTGCTGATGTATTTAATGTCGTAGAACAAAACCTGATCCGTCTCTTAAATTTGTGTCAACCACAGACCAGCTATTTTCCAAAATCCTATGGAGAAATCCCATTGGCTCTGAGACGAGGGAACCGGTAGTGGTAAAATGCTAACTCACTTTTGGGTTTTAAGACTCGTCACTGCACCACTCTATGGTATGACGAAATGATCAGAAAAAACACATATTATAGTATGTCGGTAATAGTAGCCCAACATTTTACTGAAGTACAATACTTGAGTAAATGTACTTCACTAGATTACACCACTGCCAATGACAAATGAAATGTGTGTGTGAACATGCCTGTGTTTTGGATCCACGAATGTGTCTCTACTCAGGTGGGGGAACACGCCGCTGGAGGGAGCCGTGCTCTTCGGCCACCACGATGTGGTCGCCATCCTGCAGAGCTACTGCGACAAATACAGCCCGCCTGCTGGGGCCGACGAGAAGCAGAGCACCGAGCAGAGCCTGGACAGCCTGCTGTAGTCTGCACCTCCACAGCTTCTACATTTGTGACCATATTTTTGAAATGTGTGATGAGTTGGTTCTTGCTGTTGTCCCGTCTGGTGTGCGTTGCTTTCTGTACATATCTGCTTCATATCCATCCCTTAGAAATGCAGTGTGTATTATGTATGTATGTATGTATGTATGTATGTGTGAGCGGTTTATCATTACTGTTCAAACAAACAATGCAGTATCTGGATATCTGTATTCAATACTAACAGCATAGAACTCTAATGTATGAGTACTGTAAATCACATTTGGATATAGATTGTTTTAAAGTTTATTGGTTTAGTTATGGATATATTATACTCTACCTGGACATATTTGGATAATACTGCGATTGTACTAGTTTTGTGAGCTGTGTAGAAATGATGATATAAATGATGACATGTCTCTGATTGTATGGAGGCCCACAGGCGTTAGTGCCCGTTTGGTCTCAGCTGCATCTCTTCTCAGATTGTTTTTATGAAGCTTCACCTCCTCTGAGGTCAGTGACAGATTGTACTCCAAATGTATTTTTTCAGCGGCAACACTTGCAATAGAAGCACTATGTATTTATTCACAGAGACTTTTTAAGCATAAAATCAATTTAAAGATGTAAGATTGTTTCAATTTGCTGCATCTGTGATAAAGCCAGGTTGGGTTTATATTTTATTTGGTGTCATAGCTTAGTAATTATTTACAAATAATGTTGACCAATGCAATGTATTCCCTTCCAGCCAACAGTGTCAGAAGCCAGATCATTTATCAGATTTGAAAGATTCCGGGCTTAGATAAAAGGAATTTCCTATTTTAGCAAATTGCTTTCATCACATCGGCTTTTTCGGTAGTCACATTGTTGGGTTTTCCTGCACAGAACAGTTTCAGCAGCAAACAGATATAACCTTTGAAAACCTCTGGATTTCATGCAGTAATTTTAAGATTAGTATTCTGAGGTTAACTATGCACTACAAAGTTATTTCAGAGTTGCTCTTCAACAGATTTAATCCAAACCAAAGTCTATGACTGCTGTAAGAATTTATCACATTTCTCTTCGTATATACATATGAACAATGTATACTGACCTGAACCAAACAAACACTGTGTCCGTACAGGGTTCATTAAGACTGCAACATTCCTTGTGTTTTTTCATGGTCCTACCACAGTGGTATATTTCCTAAGACTCGAATTTGAATATATTTAGCTAACATTGCAGCAGTATATGATATCATGCAACATTTGCTTGCCTCCTTAAATACTGATTTTTGTTCAAATTTGGAAATAGGTGAACAAAGGATAAGATACAAAGCACAGGTTGAAAACATATATTAGACAAAGTACGGACCCCCAGAAGTGTCAATAACACATTCTTGTTAATAAGACAAACTGTTAACTCAAATGAGGGGAAATACAAAAATAATAATATATAATATAATTTCCTTGTCATGAGAATGTGGCATACCCTCACCCTCAGGGGGCCTTGATCTGAATGCTAACACCATCATGCTAACTTTCTCAATGACTAACCAGGTGTATATATACACACTTTATGATGAAATGTTTTTCCTAAAATGAAAGCTCATGTGATCACCAGGTGATGTAGGGGAAACTCAAACCAGCAGACAGCAGGCCACTGAACGTGCCCATTTCTGTGCATAAATAAAGTTTGTATTGTATTGCCTAAAGCAGATTAAATTTCTCTTGGCATTTTAATGCATTCAGATTTTCATTTGAAAAAAAAAAAGTACATTTACAAGTGATTTTAAACACAACAGCAGACATTTTTACTCATTTGTAAAAACGTAATCAAGTTTCATAGAAATGTTGAAACAGTGCAGTAGAAATCCGTCACACATTTTGTAAGATCCATCTCTAGCACACCTACATTCTTAACATTACTTGTAGCTTAGCACAATATATACATTAAGCAGAATCTTTGGAGAATCATTACAAACACATAAGACAATATTCTTGATTCTTTCTGATGCACACTCAAACGGAGCAACGGGGATCGACAAAGCTGGTTGGAGTTGATGCCGTTTTTTTAATAAGATGTCCATGAGCCGTAGTGTTCAGGAAATATGGATGAATCAGCAAAGAGTTCCTGAATCACTTCATGAGACTCCAGCTGCAAGAAACAAATACATTGAGTTTGTATGAGAAAGTTGTTTCTCTCGCAGTTCATTTCAAACGAGATCATTAAAATGTACTGGTGAACGTAGAGCAGGGGTGGGGAACCTTTTTCCTCTCAAGGGCCATTTCAATTTTTTCAACATCCTCCGAGGGCCGTACAAATGATTGACCTCTGCTTAAAAATACTAAAATCACAGCCCATTCATTTGGCCTTTCTTTCATGCTGTGCAAAGAAAAAGCAACCTCTTAATCCAGATATCTTACCATGACTCGCGTATGCATGCACGTGCACGGTTGTGGCATGACCATCAAAACAGAAAGATATGGAGACGAGATGAGTGCAAATGTATTTAGTTTCCTATCCATGTGAACATGATTTAAGTGGGGGGGGACCTCACCTAACCTCCTCTAGGGGGGTCCATGCTCCATGCATGCTCCACCTGGAAGATTTTTTTTTAAATGTTGAAGTTAAAAGCATCAATCTGGTGCACTTTGAGAGCAACATTAGGAGCTCTATGGATACATCTCTCAACACCCATATGAAACAGAACTGTAAGCAGATTTTCTTTTCTTTATGGATATTTTACAAATCACTCCCCTTTCAAACTGTATTCTTGTTTATTAATAACAACTTTTTTTTACTGTCATATAGTATTTTATACCCGTTTACTTTATTCTCTTATTTTTTTATAACTATAATGATCATATAAAGATGTGCCTTTACCTCACTGGTTGTAGAAAAAGCTTCTTATATTCGTTAGCATAGCTAGCTAACCAGATGCTAATAACAATAAAGTTATTGACTGTATGATCAGTATGACAGATGAACAGATCGCCACTGGGCTTACAACTAAAGACACAGCCACGCAAAAACTGCGGCATGTGTACGGCTCTTTATGGGTACTGCAATTTCTGAAGTGCCGGAGCGGCGTTCTGGTGCTCTCCGTCAGAACTGCACTGAACTGTTCTTATTATACATCCATGCACCCCTGTCAGACGAGACATATACCACGTGATGACGTTAGGCTTGTGTTGTGTTCAAGGACCCTGACCTTGGCCAGGAAAAACAGGCACTCGCTTGTTTAATTCTTTTGCGGTCTAGATTTCTTTAATTTTTTTCTTTTTTGCGTGTGTTTATAAATTACCTCCAGGGCCGTACCAAATGGTCTCGCGGTCCGTATACGGCCCGGAGGCCGGAGGTTCCCCACCCCCGAGCCAAAGAGACAGATTTACTCAGTGTGTGGCCAGAAACATGACTCCTAACTAAATAGCTGGACGTGTAACTAGACAATCCTCTGCCGATGTTATGAGTGGCGAAGTCACGCCCATCTACTTCCGCCCCATGGGACCTTATTTCGGAAAATAATGTATTGAAGTCAATGGAGAGAGAAAACTTATCTTTCGATCCCGTTTGAATTGTGCCATGAATTACACATATGATGTTTGTCAATCTTAAAAAATCATTTCCATGTCAACGTTTGTTGTAAAACTGTTGAAATATAAGACTATGAAAAATACGTAACTAGAAAGACTACAAATCCCAGAGTCGCGTAAGTGATGTCACAATTGTTTTCCTCCACTATAGATAGCTAAGATCAGCGCCATATAGATAGAATCTATCTACATGGCGCTGGCTAAGATAAGATAACTTTAACAAGATGCCTGTGTGCTTAGTACCAGGTTGTTATCATACCAGCGGGTCTTGCTCGTTATTTCGCTTCCCGTCTGATGGAAGGACCAGGGGGGTATACTACGAATCTAGTTCAACATATCCTGGATATGTTTTGAGTTATCCGGTTGACTAAATCCAAAAAAAAAACGCTCTCGCTAAACGGTCCTACGACGCTGGCTATCAACTCGATCGCTCAAGCCAGCCGTGTCCTATCTAGTTAGGTGCGCGTTCACATAAAAGGGGTGGTATTTGGAGTGTTCGACCAATCACAAACATGGACAAGCCGTGTACTGACAGCGCAGCGCGTCATATATTTCCTGAATGAAAAGTCAACTAATATTAGACAAATATGAAGATGTTAAACTTTAAACATCCATGACTTAAACACTTTATCCAGGATAAAAGCCACATAGTTGCAGCTGCGCAAGGTGAATACTGCTGGTAAAAGAAAAAGTGTTTGAATGCGTACATTAACAGGTTTATGATATCACTGCTGCCCCGTCTAAGACACGAGTGGATCTGACTTTAATTACATTTGACTCGAGTGTTTCGTCAACTTAATGTGTTTCTTAAAATAATACTTCTGCATACAGTATGTGACACTGTGAGTGTTGCACGCCAGATACGGCTCAAGAAGCTGACTCAGATAAGGAAATATATGATACATTATGATGTGATATCATGTGATATGAATGATAATGGGACACATCGACGTCTGCACTCACAGTATGCAGACTGTACTTAATGTTACTTTGATCCGGTTACTTTTGTTGTGGCAGATATTTAAGTAAGCTTTCTTAACGCTAATGTTATAATAGTCAGATTGCTCTGAAGACGGGAGGTGATATTCTCTTCATTTTCACGTTCACACAGTCGGTGATTTTGGCCGGTCGTCTTTCCTGCAACGGCAGTTTAAACTGTATTTCCTTTCTCCTGTCATATGAATTGATCGCTTTAAACTCCGCACACTGAGCTCTGATTGGTCAGCAGGCAGTGCTTTTATCCTGGAACCTATCCTGCTCCGGAGGCTAGCCGTTCAGAATAAGTTATCTAGCCCGCTAAAAAGTGAACCAGCTTCGTAGGACCGGAAACCCCTGAAGTTAGCTTGCTAAACGAAAATCTTGATTCGTAGTATAGGCCCCTGGAGTGTCTGGATCAAGCTAGCTAGTAGCTAGCACGTTAGTTAGCATTACAGCCTTGTCATTTGTATTAGCCTTAACATGAAGTAACATTAAGTAACCCAAAATGTTAAACAGTAAGAGTAGTAGTCATATTTCATGAACCCTTTGAAGAGTACTGTCACACCGGTGTGATCATTCTATAATACACAATTTAAGCCCGGGGGTGAAATGCTAACGCTAACGCTAGCGATCTTCTCTACTTCATGCTATCTGCACAAATGGTTGACATTAAACATTACAAAGACCAGGCAGTTCAGAGAGAATCAAAGGAAGGCAGGCAGGCAGCTTTGCATGACTTTCTTCAGGACGTGTTTCATTGTGGTGATAGTGAAGGAAGTCAATCGTTTTGTTGACAAGACAGTAGTGACGGCAATCTTGGTGATGTGTGTTGTTCTGTGAGACCAGAGATGTAGTTCATTGAGCGTTTCACACAAACAAATGTGTTACTTCACAGTTTTACGACACTTTTTTTTTTTTGACTTGCAAAATTATCTTTTAAATTGACAAACATCATATGTGTAATTCGTGGCACAATTCAAACGGGATCGAAAGATAATCTTTCTCTCTCCATTGACTTCAATACATAATTTTTCCGAAATAAGGTCCCATGGAGGTCCACCGGAAGGGGAGGGACTTCGCCACCCTATAGTAACAGCTTGTTCCACTGCCCTCTAGAGGCCAAACATATCAGTCAAAGTAAACTTTATTGTCAATTCCTCTATTTGTGTGACACAGACAAGGGATCGAAATTCTGTTCCTCACCATCCAAGAGAATACAAATATATAATAAGAAATATATACAGTACATATGTATATATAAGAGTGGTCTCTTAATTTTTTCTGTATGTACATACATACAGACCCTTACAACCACACAAATACGGCTCTGAAAAAAATTAAGAGACCACTCGTTTTCGTTAATCTCAATCTCTACATGTAAGGCAGCCATTCCATTCCAGTGTCTGTTGAATTCCAACAGAGAGAAATGTTGTCAGTATTTTATAGAATAAAATAAAAAAAGATACATTTTACTAAAACACATACCTATAAATATTAATACCATAGAAACTAATAATGCTGCAGTGGTCTCTTGACCACACATCTGTATACACACATTTAAAAAGGTAATAATAATGGAAAAAAGAGACATAACAGTAAATATATTAAAATAACAGTAACGATGAATCAACCAATGCATGATGATGTAGTTTTAAACTTTTAAACCTACTTTTGTTTCTTCGTCCATCTCCATGTCCATGTCCGTATTGGGCTCCCTAGGTGGAGACGGAGGTGGTGTAGGGTTACTGTAAAATAAATCAAATGATTCACTAAGACACTTCGACATTTTAGTTTAGGACACACATCCATAAAAAAATAATATTGTTTATATTTTTATAAAGCTCTTTGCATATTTTGGCATCTAATCTTCTGATTGATGGAGCAAGGCTAAATCCTTTATTTATGTACAAAATACACATATCACAATCTTTTTTAAAAGCAGTACAAATTTGAATATTGTAAACTAATGTATGTATTTTAAGAATTAAAACAGAAAGTGATCCCTGTAAAAATATGTCAGTATAGTGTTGAATCGACACAGAGAAATAGCACCGTTAGGTTATCATAAATGTTCACTGTTCCAGTTTACTCATTATAAGTTCCATTTACAAGTATAAGGCTAACCCAGAGACTATCTGTGAATCTGACCGCACGGTTTACACATTTTTCTTAAAATGTGACCCCAGAGTGGCTCCATACAATGCTGATTTAAAAAATAAAATAAAAATGGTTGTCTTACTTACTCTGAGAAATCCCCCCTTTTTCTGTGAACGTACCCATCTCCGCTCAGCACTTTCTCTGCTGCATGAACACATGTGATCAGAGGTCATTACAGGTCTCATGTTCAATAAAGAATATGTATCACCCTCAGAATTTGAGAGTAATAATCCATCATTTTGCAAGGGGCACAATGTTAGAAGCTTTACTTTTTTCAACTGTTGCACAGAGTTGTAACTAACCAATGGTTATTATGTACACGGCTAAGTTGAATACTCGATTCGGATTGGTTAATTTGGACATTCAGTGGTCTTCTCTTTTGTGATAGCAGATTGCTGCTAAGCTAAGCAGACCGTTGCTAAGAAAAAAATATTTATATAATATATATAAAATAATATTTTTTCATTTTGGTTTTCCACAGAAAAGACAAAAAAAAGGGGGAAAAAACAGGACATGAAGATAGACAGGAAGTAAACACTAAAGGGAACAGCAGAAGAAGACAGACAGGAAGTAAACACTAAAGGGAACAGCAGAAGAAGACAGACAGGAAGTAAACACTAAAGGGAACAGCAGAAGAAGACAGACAGGAAGTAAACACTAAAGGGAACAGCAGAAGACAGACAGGAAGTACACACTAAATGGAACAGCAGAAGACAGGAAGTAAACACTAAAGGGAACAGCAGAAGAAGACAGGAAGTAAACACTAAAGGGAACAGCAGAAGACAGACAGGAAGTAAACACTAAAGGGAACAGCAGAAGAAGACAGGCAGGAAATAAACACTAAAGGGAACAGCAGAAGACGACAGACAGAAAGTAAACACTAAAGGGAACAGCAGAAGAAGACAGGCAGGAAATAAACACTAAAGGGAACAGCAGAAGAAGACGGGCAGGAAGTAAACACTAAAGGGAACAGCAGAAGAAGACAGACAGGAAGTAAACACTTAAGTGAACAGCAGAAGAAGACAGACAGGATATCACTAAAGGGAACAGCAGAAGAAGACAGACAGAAAGTAAACACTAAAGGGAACAGCAGAAGAAGACAGACAGGAAGTAAACACTTAAGTGAACAGCAGAAGAAGACAGACAGGATATCACTAAAGGGAACAGCAGAAGAAGACAGACAGGAAGTAAACACCAACAGGAAGATGGTATCGGCTCTGGCAGTGTTTAAAGACTGGTTAATGGTTAGTGTTCTTGGTGAATAAAGACATTTTGTTCTCAAACAGTAAACAGTAGCCATGGTAACAGTACCAGTGTTGGTGAAGTAGTGTCCAAAGGCGGTGTCTTTGGGGATGTCTGGGTACAGGTAGAGCAGGGGGTTGGTATGTCTGCTCTTCCGGCCTCTCAGACTGTAAGTGTTGATATAGTCCGGCAGAGACGTCTTCTCCAGCTCGTCCTTGGTGTAGGGATATATTGAATGCACAAAAGGCGCTGCAGGCGAACAACATACAGGAAGAGGACAGATATCCGAGTGTGAGAAATAACTTCATTCAGGATGGGACAGCCGACTGGAGTTTGAAGGTTTTGAGGAGGGGTTGTATGAGGCACTTATCATCTCTGACCCCAACCATCTCCTGAACAGTGAATATGTATTGTTACCATCAAATCGGAGATATAGGGTCCCACGTTTGAATAGGGTCAGACTGGAGCACTGTTGTGCACCAGTCAATTCTTACAGTAAATACAGAGTTAGGTTCCAGATCTAATGTACGATAGAGGGTCTTGAACATGTTTCTCTTCAGTGATTGTGATGTTAGATGTCCGTTCCCTCCCTTGTATCTTGTCTTAAATATTTGTCCTTGTTGATGTTTCAAATGGAGCTGCTGTGATGTGAAAAATGTCAGACTCGATCTGACAATAAAGTGTCATCTTATCATATGTTACCCAAAGCCAGTGTATAACCTACAGTAGATGGCAAAGAAACAGACAGGAGTACCAGCATGGAGCTTTGTTAGTTCTGACGGGAGGGGCGCAGCAGCAGAATGGACACCTCAAAAATGCAATCATGTTATTGTGTGACTTTGAAGGGTTGCTTCGGATTCAACAAATCCGCATAATGACTACCTAACCGAGCAAGGCAGGGGGTCAACCAGCAGATCCTTTGTTCTGGGAGGTAAAAGGATGGTTTTTCTCAATGCAGTCTGGTACTTCGAAGAGAGCATAAGGCATGTTCACACCGGAGTACTTTTCCCACAATAGTTCATCAGAACTACGATATATTTGCGTTCACACCAAAAAGCCCCAGGAACTAAAGTAGTTCAAATTAGTTCATCTGACCCGCTTTTCAGTCCCTGCTACAGAGCAGGGTCTGTCGTGGGAGAAAATAGTTCATACGTCTGATTGGCTGTGCGGAATGCAAACCACGCCCGTTTGACTCTGAATCTTTTTTTGTAAGCGGCCATTGTATTTGCTCGCTTCGGGCAGCGCACCCGAAGAGACTACTTTTGTGAAAGCAGTTATTATAGCAACACTAAATAAATCATCGGAGCGGTGGAGTGATGAGGATGTGTCGGCGCTTCTGGCGATTTACTCGGAGGACGCGAAGCGCCGCATTTAGAAGCTTCTACTGAATGCAGTTTCCGTGGCTCAGCAAAGTTAGCAGACCTGGCAAAGTCATGTCGGGACGACTACGAAGGTAAAATAAAATACATGCACTGCACTGTTTTAATCTGCACAATACTGGTCTTAGATGTACTTTTATTTGCTCAGTAGATCGAGCTAGCCATGCTAGAACTTGCTATCATAGGTCCAAGCTGGCTAACAACATCTAGCTAGCTAGCTATTCTCAGCCGTGCCCGCTATGAACACGTTTTGACTTGTGAATAAGTGTGCAATGTTCTGTAATTTGCTTCACTCACTCATGGCACTAATCGTGTGTTTCAGGCGAGGTGTTTCTCTCTGGATTAGAAACTAGTTTTCCCCTCCGGGATAAAACGATAATATAACGTTAGCAATTAGCATGCTAGCTGGACATAATGCTACCTCTAACAATACATTGTAGTTGCTATAATTTCAAGTCATTTGCAACATTCATTCTACATGTTAATGGTAAAAGCTTAAACAGTTGATTACCTGCATGCCACAAAGACTGATGTTCTAATATTTTTGCACATTTAAGTAGAAATGTAATTGAAATTCTATTTATTTTTCCTTTTTTTTATTGATTGTTATAATTGTACTCAGCCATGTTATGTTAGATGTCAATCCACTTACACTGTAACTACTCTGGCCTTGAAAGAAGGTTACACATCTAACTGATGTCCACTAATCCCTATAAAACAAAGTTCAAGCATACATTAAGCACAAAACAATAAATAAGGGCACTTTGATATTTATTTTTTATTTGATCCTATCTTATCTTCTACTTTACACCTGCATTTTGTACACTGTCCCTGCCTGCACCATGTCCAATGTTGTCTCTGTTGACAACCTACTAGGCGATTAAACTGATCTTGTATCTTGCTTATTTCACCTTAGGAAAGCGGGCACGGGATGACAGCTTCCTTGACACCATCATGGCGATGGACTGCCGTGCCATGGTCAGCAAGGAGAATGAGGACCTGCGTGCCAAGGAGATGCACGACGAACGGCTGCTGCATTCACACAAGGCCCAGGAATCGGACAACCAGCTGCTCATGGTGATGCAGCGCCATGCTGACTCGGCGGCGCGCCAGGTGGAGGTGTCGGCGCGCCAGGTGGAGCAACAAAATACCTTTCAGGCTGGGCTTCTGGCAGTGCTAAGCGAGCTGATTAAATCCAACAGGCCTTCAATAAAAATATAAAGAAAAACTTGTCGTCGTTGATAAACTGTACAATGACTTGTTGGGAGGCGTGTGGTGCAGTGGTCTGGTGCATTGGTGTTCGGATCACAGGTTCAAACCCCACTGCAGTCAGCATGTCGTTGTGTCCCTGGGCAAGACACTTCACCCCAAATTGCCTACACCTGGGACAGTTAATTTTGTATTATTGTGATTATATATATGCCACTGTTATTAATACTGACACTTCACTTTGCACTAAGGTGTGTCTGCTGCTGAGCCTATCTATTGTTATTATATATATATATATATATATCTATTGTTATATATATATATGTTTTGATACTACTGACACTTTATTTGATATTGAAAATGTTAACTTCTATTTACATGCATACGACACACCTGGGACAGCGTGATGCTGTTATTGATATTGTCTTGAGTGTGCAATAAAAGAGAACCTACATGGCGATTAAACGGAGCCTGTATCTTACATTTTTCATTACATTTCATGTAACTAAGCTTGCTTATTTCTCCTCTGACACTTCATCTTTACAGTGACCTGTGTAGCATCCTATACATCACATGTAAGTAATTATTCTGATACCATCATGTTTCATCGGTTATAAACTGGCGAAGCTTTATTTATTGTGCCTTTCAAAAAGATAATTTCATTGTATTTCAAAATGGCGTCCAACACAAGCACTATTTATTTATTTATAGAAAGATAAATGGTTAAGTTTGTTATTACCAGTGTTGTGAGTTCAATATTTTTAATTAATTATAGTAAGGGAACATCTTAGGAGTTAGTGTAGTGAGTTTCAGAGCAGTGTAATCATTATTTGACCTAAAACTAAATGTTTTTATGAATGTCCTCTGAGGAGGACATGGGGATTTGCTAACTTTTGATTTCCCCCATTGTACACGACACAAATGGAGGCCACTATGGGCCACAACTAACACGTAGGTTTCTGTAGGGTTCATGGCAGACGGATGCAGTTGTTCTCAGGAGGATATATAATAAAGGTGTGTTAGCTGCTGAGCCTATTTAGTGTGCATACGACACACCTGGCACAGTTTATTCATTTCACACGTAGCGTAGCGCGTGCATGTCGTCGTCCAATCCTTTTGTCAATCCTTCTTAACCGCCTTCGCTTCCGAATCAGCATTGCTATTGCATTTGACTGGTCGATGATCTGTATTTGTGTTTGCTTAAATAACTCAGACGAAGCTCATGTCTGAGGTCGGAAGGTAAACAGACGCCTCATTTACAGCAAGTGGGCGCGGGAGGTTTTTCTTCTTCTTTTTCTCTCGTTTTTTTGGCGGATTGCAACTTTAAGGTGCATACCGCCACCTACTGTACTCGCCGTGAAGTTGTTTGCGGCCTGCCAGTAAACCCAAAGCAGAAGAAGAAGAAGAAGTGATGTCAGCGGTTAATTTGCCTAATCCACCCCCAGGAACTCATTTTGGTGTGAACGCGATCTGCTTTAGTTCATCAGAACTAAAAGAGTTCTCATGAACTGAGTTCTCATGAACTATTGTGGGAAAAGTACTTGGTGTGAACGCGCCTATAGATAACGGCTTCAGTTCCTGTCAGAAAGGGCAGTCTGCAAGGTAAAGCTTTTTTACTTTTTCTTGTGTCTTAAATATTTTTTGGCTACTGCCTGCGGCCACAACATTGCATTGCTCTGCTTTCGTGATGGTACTCCTGTCTGCATCTATAAAGAGGTACAAGGAGGAAAACATTTTTGTAGGCCGACCCCGATCGTGGGTTTCCTCGACAAAAGGCCAATGAGTTTTCCAATTGGATTGCAGAAAATACAATCTGGCAAACACAAGTTTATGATATTTTCACATTATGTTCAGCAGGTTAATCGCCACATAAAAATCCACTGTTAGAATTGTTCAATCATAAATGCAATCACCAGATGTAAAAATATGATATTATTCCTATTAACAAACTTTATCACAGTCACATGACTTGGTCACTCGTTAGCAACCACCTTTTTTATGACACCTAGAAGCTTCAGACATTCGCCAGTGGGGCATTTTCTAACATATATTATGTCTTAAATCAAAACGTGTGAATCTTATATTAACAACAGACCTTATTTCAGGTATCTAACAAATAACTTATTTGAAATACCACTGACTTTGAGATGAGGGAACCCCAAATATCTAAAATGTTATCTCAATTCCAGGTTTAGGACTCATTCATGCACCACATGCTGTAGGTACACTGGCTATGGAAAAGTACCTCATTCAACCTCACTTCAGACTTGCAGAGCCCTTTGGCATTTTAGCTCCAAATGAACAAACATACCACCATTGGAGTTGTCGACCCAGCTGAAGCTGATGGCTCCATTTGTTTTGCTCTCGCTAAAGCGGAGCAGAAAGGTCCCGGTCCGTTTTTCCTTCAACAGTTCAGCTGTTCTCTCCCTGCTGATGAACCCCATGATGGACCTGAAGCCCACACACAGAATATAACCAGAGCTCAGTTGATTGGGAAGCATGACGTGCTGGTATGTGGACCACTGCCTCATTATTAATGTGAATGAACCAAACAGAAAGAAAGCGCTCAGATGACTTACCCATCCCGCCACAGATCAACCAAGTGTTTTTTGATCAGATCCAGGATTCCATCAATCCAGAGCCAGGCATTTTTATTCTGGAAAGCAAAAGTCAACATGTAAACACAAACACACAAAGTAAAGTTCTGGAGTTTGTAACTGTGTACAGCACAGCATAATCGGCACCTTGCTCAACACTCACCTTGGAGAACTTGCTCCAGTGAACTAGATCATCAGGATCATCTGTGAAGAAATGAAAAATGACAGAAGAAATATCATGAATATAACATGAACTCTGGAGTAGAGAAATTAGTACATCATCCTTTTAATCTTCGGTTTATCCAATCACGCTTTAATTCAATAACCATAATAGATTTGCTTAAAAAAACACAATCTTAAATCCTACTGATATCAATGCCACTCTCATGTCGGTGCAGACTGTTGTTTTTACTCGTTACTTTTTTATACAGACATAAAGGCGCTTGGTTAGCTCGTCTTTGTGACATGCTAGGCTAACTTGCTTATGGCTATGCAGTAACAAAAACACAAGTGGAGTTGTATCCTCATATAACTCTCAGCAAGAACATGAATAAGCATATTTCCCAAATTGCATATCTATTGTAATACTTTACTTGGAAGCTCACAAAAAACGCAGTCCCAAATGCCGATCCAATGAAAAGCTACATTTTCTGACAAGTTCAGATCAACTAGAGCAGGGATGGGGGCAAATGGCGGCCCGGGGGCCACATGCGGCCCCCACCTCCTCTTTTTGCGCTCAAACACTCACCCACAATCTTGTCTCTTAGCACGGAGAGCTGGTTTTCGTCAAGCTCCCGCTTGCCAGTGCACAAAAACTGCCAGCTGAGAACCTGGGACAGCTGCTCCCATGTGAGGGGAGGAGGGTCCACAAACAACTGCAGGTTCTGCAGAACAAAGGCACACACTTCGAACGTGATTTAAGACCAAACGATGGATTAACAATCAACAAGACAATGGTTGAAACAGTGAAGATGACCCAGAAACTAGCGTCACAAGGGCCCCCTCTATGAAAAGCAATGGGATTTTTCCGTTAGATTTGGAATACTGAAGAAAATAAGATCTTTGGCAAACACATGTTTATGATACTTACACATTTTGTTCAGCAAGATAATTTCAGCATATTAACACCTCTTTTACAAATGTTTAAGCATAAAATGTGTTTTCATTATCATGCAGCAAAAACAATATATTTTAAATGTTTTGGTGCTGAGGAGTGTGTTTTACCCTGGAGTCACCGGTGGACAGCATGTTGTTCCACATGATGGAGGCCCAGGCGCTGGAGACCTGCGTGGTAGCGGAGATGACAACCACAGGCAGAGTGCTGGCCTGGCCCAACACAGCAGCAGAAGACATTAAAGAAACGCTACTGCCATTTTCCTCTCCAATAGTTCCATATTTTAAACAAATGTTATCTTATAGTTAGGCCGCAAACAGAAATGTAAGGGCCTCTGATCAGAATGGAAGAGTTTACTCACTTCAATGTTGAGTTCCAGTCCAACATGGCGGAACTGTGTCACAAACTTAATGATGTGGAGTTCTTCAGTGACTGCCAGGCGACACTAAAGGAGAAACAGGTCTATCAATATATAGGTGTTATTGATATGTGATGTTGTTCTGCACAAACACTCATGTGGAGGGATTGTGTGGGAGAGAAACTCCCTCAGAAGGGAATACAGGGATTTTTAGCCTTTGAGACCATTTACATGCACAAAAACCTATATAACACTTAGTGTAAATAATATCCTGCTTTATATTGTGTCTAAAGCCTTTCAATCGTGTTTTATTGTCAGAGTTAATAGATTTGTTATCTTCACGGTCTACTGTATATTTTCTATTTTTCAAACATTTTCCAATTTGGGATCAATAAAGTACCTCTTATCTTTATCTTATCTTATAACACACTACAGGAAAGGGAAAACCACACAAAGCTGAATAGGGCCCCTTAAATATCAGCAAGTTAGCATTACCATTGTTAGCATGTAAGCACCACTTTGCCTAAGTAGTGCCTTGGCATGGCTGCCATCTTTTTTGGACAATTGACAGCACATTGACGGAGGGTGTTTCTCAATGTCGAGTAAAGCTGCTCCAGAGCCACTATTTCAAGCATACTCATTTCATTTCATTTCAAACCTTTATTTAACCAGATTGTCCCTTGAGATCATAGATCTCTTTTTCAAGGGAGACCTGCAGCAATTAGGTACTACGTCATCGAGTGCCGCCGAAGGACTGTTCCAATGTCCAGCATACTTGGAATTCTACCGAGCCCGGCGTACTTCGTAGCGAGAAATTTCGAGGCTGCACATGTGTAGACTCCGCGGTCTTAAAATCCCCACAATGCTTTGCGCACGGACCAATTTCCCCAAATCTGTGGCGGAAAATGTAAGGCGGGGCCTCTCATATGACGCACACCTGCACACCTGCACACTTGCTAGCGTGTTCCATTCTTCGTTTTCCAAATGCCAGGAAGTATTCTTGCCTCGCTTCTGAAGCAAGTGACTCGGAAGACATGTGCTACCAAGCAAGCGTACTCGACATTGAGAAACACCCACTATCTGTATATACTTTTTCTTTTTTTTTCATTTGACTTTTTCAGCAGATAGATAAACTTTAGCATTTATTATAAGTAGTAGTGACGTTAGTACAAACGACGGTTATTCAAATTTTAATGTCTCATCTTACCTCAATTGATCCTTTCGTTCTTCCTTTGATTTCCTTGAGACACTGAAAAAAAGAGAACTTTTAAAATCTTCAAAAGTTAACCAGTTAACCAGTTGGAAGAGCTTCTTACCATGTAACCAAATTCTGTCACCAAGTCTCCATTGGGCGAGTCCACGTCCAACACTTTACACTCATCCCTGTTGAAGTCGAAGTGACGGAACCTACAACGACATCAAATGTCAAAATGTATGAGGAGTTTAAAGATACAATTCATCAATTTATATATAAAATGTTAAATTGTTTTGGTACCCTCTACTTACCATTTAACCGTTTTGACTTCTTCAACATCCCTAATTTTCAGGGAGAACAATATGCAAAAAGATTGATAAGAAAATAAGAGGTAAAGGGTTTTCTTTATTTTAAATAATACTGCATTATATTAATATCTCAGACCAGTTTTCTTTGACTTACTTGTCAAATACAGGTTTGACTTTGAGCAGGCACTTGAATTCTGGAAGGTTTGCCAAGAACCTGAAAAGACAAATAAAAAAACTAAAATACTAATGAAGAATGATCTTCAAAAACAAGAAATTGCTGTGAATCCAGGATGACGTCGCTGCCGTCTACTAAAAAAGGAGCAAGCTTAGTATTTTATTCTGAAAATATTAACGTTTCTTTATTGTCACAAACACATCTCATCACAACTCTGTGATGGCTTGTTGTTTCATGACTAGCCTAGAAATAAAAATCTGTTCCCACATGAACAGACGCTCTCAGTGGGTATAGTGGCTGGTTCTAAAGTAGTATCTTCTGCCCATTCTTTGGTCATCTTCTTATTTGTTCATTTATTCATTCATTCTTTCTTTTCTTCTTTTTAAATAGCCCTCCCATCCACTGGCAAACACTCACAATAACTCAACCTAAGAGAGTACAGAAACGAGTCCTAAAACCCAGAAATAACTTCGCATTTTACCACTTCTGGTTCCCTCGTTCAACGGTTTGTTGAATGTGTTTGTAGTTAAAAGCCTGAGATAAGGTCTGTGGTTAAAACAAGCCTAACAGATTTTCACATTTTGCTCTCGGACATAAAATACGTCAGCAAATACCTCACCTGTGAATGTCCAAAGCTTCTATGTGTTATAAAAACTGCGTAACAAGTATAAACGAGTAACTCAAATAAACTACTAAACGTCAGCCTTCAGCTTAGCGATTGTGATGCGCAGCCATGTGACTGTGATGTAGTTTGTTTATAGCCTAGCATCAGCTTTTTACTTCTGGCGATTGCATTTACGCTTCAAAAATCACAAAGCGGTGTTATTATGTGGCGATTATCCTGCTGAACAAAACGTGATAAGAATGAATGTGTGTTTGTCACAGAGCTTATTTTCTGCAATAAACTGAAATGGAAAATTCCCATTAGATTTTGTGGAGGGACCCCTTTGCGATGCTCACTTCCTTGGCGGCCTACAAAAATACGCCATCACTCCACCCAAATCATGTTGTCTTGTTTGCTTTGCCCCGTCATGTTATTCCTGTGATGTCACCCAATGCATGCAGCCTTACCTCACTCTCACGGAGAAGCACACCCCGGTCTTCAGTATCAGAGGTCGTTGTGGTAAACTCAACATGATCGGCTGTTTCTCAACCACCAGAGCACTGCAGAGCAAGATCCCAACGAAAAGTGTCAGAAATATGAAAGTGCATGCTTCAGTCTGTGTGTGTGAATGACACAAATGAGTTCAGGAGCCGTGACTCACTTTGCAAGTAGTTGTGTGAACAAGGACAGTGTTTGGTTCTCAATTACTGCCATGAGGCCAGGCAGGTTGGAGGCATCGGTGCTGTCGGGTGTGTTGTTCTGCTCTTTCAGTTTCTGCAGCTGTTCGCGCACTCGCAGTAGCACCTCGGCCACAGCTGTGAACCTGCACAGGCAGAATAAGCAAACACAAGTTGTCATCAGGGGTGTAGGGCCACTGATACCAACCACAACTATGACAGGCAGGCAGTGCATGGTTAAGTTGTGATGGTTGATCGAGCTTTAAATGATGCTTACAGCTTCTGATTGCCACAGTTGTTCAAATATATAAAAATATCTTCTTGTGTTCATTAAATTGTTGTAGAATTGTAGAAGGACTGTAATTTTTGGAGGAACCTGGAATATTGTTGACATCCAGCTGGATCCATATTTATTTTCTTTTTATACATATTCACGTTATCATTTATAACATATGGACTGTATTTCATCTCTCTTTAATCTATACACCATTGCACGTCCGTCCTTGGAGAAGGATCCCTGAACTGTTGCTCTCCCCGAGGTTTCTAACATTATTTCTCCATTATTTGTGGGGTTTCTTGGGAGTTTTTCCTTCGTCCCTCACAGGGTCTAAAGACAGAGTGTTGTATGCTGTACACTGTGGAGTCCACTGAGACAAATGTTTCATCTGTGATATTGGGCTAATTGATTTATATGTCTGAAATATCTGCAGCCTCTGAAAGTGGCTCGGCATCGGCATTACTCGTGGCTGTTCACTGTTAAAATATTCTAAAACCAACGCCATGCTGCCACAGTTTAACTTTACAGAGCTCTACACACATCACCTTTCCTCCTTCAGGCATTCAGAGAGGATTATAGCCAAGTTCAGTGGCTCATCTTCAAAGTTTTTCTAAGTTTAAAAAAATAATATAATCAAATACACACAGAATCAAACAAGACTCTGAAATTAATAAAAGGTTTGGTTAACATAAAGGCGTGTCTGTCCTACCAGCAGGAAATCTCTCATCCCTTGTGATCAGGTCCCTGTTTGCTTTTCACGCATTATATAGGCTTTAGTGACTATTTGACCTTTAAAGCTTAAAAGCATTTACATGAATTTCAACCAGATTATGCAAACCACAATATTTGGAGAAAGGTATCCCAACACCTGAGCAGCACTTCACCCATGGGTGTTAATCTTGACAGCTGAGACAGAGACGCATTATCACATGTTCCAAAGTTTCCTCCCTAACATGACCCATATAAAGCCAAAGTAGTTCTTATAAGTTCTCACCACTTCTGGAGATGGTCTAGACAGGTGTCGGCTGGGCTTCCAATGCAGGCCAGCTGCTGCCTGAGCCTCCATTCGGGCAGCTCCACCTCGGTGAGAGTCGCCACAATCAGCTGAGCCAGGTTCAAAATGTTCACGATCTCCTGCAGCAGCACCTGCAATCCAGCAAACACCAAGTGTTCGGGGGGGCCTCATTATGCTTGTACGGGGTGCACCACAAAAATAAAATTAAACCAAAAACAAACTCCATCACGCTGTGAAACGCAGGGATAAATCCAATGTCCAGGCAAGAATATAGTTTGTATGGTTTATCCAACGATCCTGAAGTACAATGAACCACAGCCTCCTCTCCTCTGCCCTTTCTTCACCTGTCTAACATTCAATACCTAAACCACCTGGTTCCTGAAGCTGCATTCAAAATAAACGCATTAAAAAAAACGACCCAAATTAAATTAACTAATTACTCTAAATAATGATAAAACTACTATTTAGGAGAACAGCAAGAAAATTAATCGTTCACTATTAAATAATACAAAACAATAAAAAGCAAAAATGTTTATTGTCATCATATACACAACTATTGTGTAATTATATAATGTATGAAAAACTTAGATCGCAGGTTCCTCAACAGTGCAATGACAAGACATAAAAAAATAAATAAGGGGCCCTATTCTACACATTTTCGAGTTCCTATTTGTATTTAGTGCCTCTACTGCAGTGGCGGTGCTGAAGCACCCCCCAGGATAGCCATAGCACCCCCTAAGCACCCCCAAGAAATGTAGGCTATGTCTTCTTTTTTTTTTATGTGTGAAATTCATAATTTGAAAAATTATTGATTCGAAAGTAATATGCTACAGTACAGTACAAGTAGCTTACTTCTGGGTCTCTGTGTTTCATTCAAGCTCTGCTCTGTGTGTGTGTGGCACAAGCCATTTTGTGTGCGTGCGCGAGCGAGCGAGAGAGAGAGCGCGCGCACCGGTGGGTATCTACCGGAGATCGTTGTGGTTAGCATCTGGTGCTAGCTAGCCAAGCTAATGGATATAAGGAGCTTTTTCAACAACAAGGTGGAGGGAGAACTCTCTCCTGTCAGACTGAGAGTCTCAGATAACCTCAGCTCAGGTGAAGTAAAGAACTCTCTCAGTGTTTAGATAGTTAACTTTAGTCTAAGTTATCTCAGTGGGTCTCAAACAGTTTGGTCACGATTTATGTAAATAAGTATTTCCGAGGCACACGTTTATATGATCAGTATAAAAAAATAAGAGCATAAATGAAAAACAGTTATGAAATAATATATGACAGTAAAACAAGAATACCGTTTTAAAAAGGGAAGTGATTTGTAAAATATCCATAAAGAAAAAGTAAATCTGCTTACAGTTCTGTTTCATATGGATGTTGAGAGATGTATCATAGATCTCTTCATGTTGCTCTCAAAGTGCACCAGATTGATGCTTTTAACTTCAATATTTAAAAAAAAATCTTCCCGGGGGAGCATGCCCCCGGACCCCCCTAGAGGAGGTGAAGACCCTCCTATAGGAGGTTAGGTCCACTCCCCACTTGTAAAAATAGCACTTTACCCCTGCTTACACCTATATGCCGTGAGCTGATTATCGAGCCTTCATTGTAACAGTCGCGGGTGTACTGTACATGTGTGTGTGGGGAGTGTTGCAGTAGAAAATTCAACTGTAGCGCTGGTGCATTAATGGGAAACCCTAAATGTTTGAGCACCCTCTATGAAACGTCAAGCTACCCCACACCTAGAGAAAATCTCTGGCGCCGCCACTGCTCTACTGTGACATGTCTCCATGCTATAATGTTCAAAAAGCTCTTTATTTTTCTCGTACTGCCTGAAAAGTGTATTCTATCAGTACTATCAGAACCGAGAATGTATCTTTATCTCTAGTTTGGAGATTTAAAAAAATAAATTAAACAAAGTCCAAAAATGTCCTTACATTTTATTTTAAACTGCTAAAAATGTAAAATGCTTTAAGACAACAGTTTATATAAATCTCACCAAGCGTACATCTACAGTACCTGCTTTGTTTGTATGATAAAGTTGGTCCGCTTACGACATTCCTCTTCCACAACAGCATGGGACTGGGCCAATCCAATGTCCTGCTCCACTGCAAATCACCAATGAGACATCGATGAAGCACAAACTCACAACACACCTGTCGCCTGTGTCTTTACCTCTCCTACCATACCTTTGTTTTGCCAGGTCTTCTGTATGAAGTCAAGGTTGTCATTAAGAAACTCCAGTGACTTCATTTCCTTCTTCACCTCCTGCATTAAAGTTCACACATTTAAAAAGTATTTTTCTCATCAATAAGAAATGTTCTATCAATAAAAAAGTGACAGACTAAATGAGTTTACCATAATCAGTCTTTTCAGTTCATTGATTTTGTTGTCCATATCTTTCCATTTCCATTTTTGATCCATGTCTGGACTGCCACAAGCCTGACAAAAACAAAGGTGTTAATTACACAACAGACTGACAGACAGAATGTGTGTCTGTTGTGTAACTGTAAGAACTGTAAACATCAAGATGTCTCCTGTCGGAGGAGCAATACAAATCTAAAAGATTAGACACATTTGAATAATCTTGTGGCAAGTGATTGATGTTTAAAGCATTTCTGCAGCCTGCACAGTTTGTCCACCTTAAATCATCTTACCTGTACTTCAGAGGCTGAAGCCTTAATCTTCTGTTCCTCCTTCAGGCACTCAGAGAGGATTACAGCCAGGTTCAGTGGCTTATATTCAAAGTTTTTCTAAGTAAAAAAAAATATGATCAAATACACACAAAATCAAACGAGGCTCTAAGGTGTATTGGTTATTGAATGTTGAGTTTACATATCAGCGTGTCTGCCCTACCAGCAGGTAGTCCTTCATCCCAGTGTAATCAGGTCCCGGTAAGAGGATGTTCTCCTGCACGGAACGGATGCACTGTTCTTGCAGATCCTCCAGCAGTGCATGGAAATATGTGCTTGCTGCATTTTCATCCCCAGCTGCCAAATCCCTAGCAAAGAGCAACAGAAGATGTTCATTGCAGGTCTCCCTTGAAAAAGAGATCGTTGATCTCAATGGGATTTTTCACCTGGTTAAATAAAGGCTACAAACAAACAATTCATTCAGGGATTGTGTCCAACTACTTGTGTAGAATGAGGATAAACTTTGGGGGACAAAATATCAATCCACTTCCTCAAATTATTTAATTTGTAATACCGTATTAGGGGACACATAATAGTGGGTTAAACCCCACCTTAACTCAGTTTATTCTTTAACCTTGGTGCATAATCTGTGTCCCAATTGTATTAATTTACAATACCTTGTTTTTTGTTGCGTTTTTGAGGATGATAGATTTTCTTATTTGATCTCTTTCTTATTACTTTCTCATATTATAACAGTAGTTATTGACTATATACTATATAGGTCTGTATATTAATGTGGGTTTTCCCCAAAGTCTGTTAAATTACAGTATTTCATATATAATTAGAAAAATATATATCATCTTTCAGGACAAGAGCCCGTTTACTCAGCAGCGGTCACCAGGACAAAGAAAGAACTGCATTCATTGACCTCCCCATTTTCCTGTTCATAATTCATGATGAGCAACTGCTGTGGCACGTAGTGTTCCTCCAATTGGAAGGTTGCTGGTTCAATCCCCTGCAATCTACATGTTGATGTGTCTTCTGGGAAGATAAGTGCTTCCAATGGCATGGCCATCAATTTGTGAAAGTGTGTGAATGACAGCTTATATGAGTGAATGCTGACTGAAGAACTGCAAGAAGCCAATTAGTTTGTAGTAACTAGATTGAGATAAATATAATTTACTAAAATATAGAATAATATGTATTTCATTTAATAAGGACAATAACAATTGACAAAATAAAGCCCCCACAGCAAGATTTGACCACAGTGCATGTCTACAAAAGAGTGCTTCAAAATGGTTACATGAAAATGTGAATGCTGACAGCTGCACAGATCTGTTGCTTAACTTAGCTGACAATGAAGGACGGTGAAATGACTTGAATAAAATGTTAAAGCCCAAATGCATTGCACTGCTGAAAAACCTGACGGTGAAATGTAAAACTGGCAGATGTGACAAAAAGTGAAAACACTTAATATATTTTAAAGTGTCATTTCAGAATTGGAGGACATTTAGACGGCAAAACCTTTGAAAAACGAACCCTTTGATTTTTGGTTTTCTGTCATGTTTTTGAGAAAAACAGGGATTGAACAATAAAGAAAATGATGTTGCTAGCTCAGGCATTTATGGTACATATTTTATTAGATGTTTTATTTGTTGCTTTTCAGCAGCTGATGGTGGGCTAGAACTTAACCTCTTGATCTAATTATAATCAATCATTTTGAGTTCATTGTAAAATGTAAAAAAAGTGTTAATTGTTGCCACATTAACATGCCTAGGCTACCTGGTTCCAATAACAAAAAAGGCAGTTCATATTCTACATTAAAAACATGTAGATTATGCATAATGCTCGAAGGTATAAACAACATAAGCCATACTGTAGCTATCCCGCTCTGCTGCTGAATCAGCACAACAATGCACACGTGGCTTTTAAGACCCCTAAGGTGTATCAATAGCATATACAGAGCATTGGGCAATGTATGTAATGACTACAATCTGTCAGTGCCTCTTACCAGTCCAGGCTCTCTATCAGGACGCACAGGTAGTGGCGGATCTCTCTGGGGAACTTCCCCTCGTACAGCTGGCTCACCCGGGCCTGGAGGGTCGCGTCCAGCCGCAGCAGGTCCTGCCACTGGGCCATCTGCAGTCAGCACAGGAGGGAGAAGTACTCAGATGTTATACTTAATAAAAGCAGACATGCAACAGTGTAAGAATACTCCATTACCAGTACAAGTCCTGCATTTAAAGTCCTATTAACTTTGTCAAATAAAAGTAGTTGAGTGAACAGTTACATGTTGTCTTACACCTTGGCGACTTTTAAAAAAAAAGTTATTTTTTGGAAAAATACATGTACAAACAACATGGCATTCAGAGTCTTCAAAGTAAAAAATCGTAAATAGAACATAATAGAAATTGATATGACATAAAAGTAAACAAATAAAGTAAAGTACATACAACAGAGGGCTAGGTCTTTTCACATAAATCGTATTTTCCCAATTGTGCTTAACAGTTTTATTGCATTTGTATTCATCATTATGGTAATTGGCTACTTAAAAAGTGCACATGATGCTAACACTCAAAACTAGCTAGGTTATATAGCCTAACAGGGACATTCATTTATTGACAACAATACTTTAAAGCTTTGAAGTTGCTACCTGAAAATATGAAGCACCCTAACATAACAGTACTTCTTCTACGTATTCCTACAGACAACACAATGGCTTACCTTGTGGTTATTGTTGTTTTGTTTCTTTATCGATAGAGCAGCAGGTTAGTAATGTAAAACAGCGAGTAGCTACAGTGCTGTCCTCACTGTCTTCTGTTGTGAGTGACAGGAACAATGGGGCGTTCCTTATATTCACCGGGTACTCCCACACATCACGTGATTCTCGAGAAATCATTCCGCTAAACTCTGTCAAGTCAACCGGGGTTTACCCGGTTTACCCGGTTTACACAACTTCCTCATTCACAAAATAAAGGTACGTGTTGTTTACAACGACTTGTGTGCTTGCTCCCTGAGTTTTTAACTCGTTTCCGGGTGGTGATAACTGACGACAACTCTGACTACAGTATTTAAAGTGCAGGACTTGTACTTAAGTATTTTATTTTACTTAGACATTAACATTCAAATACAAATACTTAAAAAATGGAAAAGTAAAGTAAAATAAAATGAAAATGAAAAATACTATATCTAATATAAACAACATACAAAATTCTGGATAATTGAAATGTTCTTTAAAAAATATCAAAAATACTGCAGTAGCAGAAATATAAGCTTATAATATACTGTATAAACATATGATAGTCTATAATTTACAGATATACAGAATAATTGCAAATTGACACTTAACCCTAACCCTTTTACTTCAGTAAACATTCTGCACTTCCTCCTCCTCTGTCCAAGACCCAAACACCTGGCACCTGAATGCAACAGAGCCTCCATTTTTAAATACTGGAGGCCAGGGGAGACAGCCACCCTGGTTCTGCTCAAAGACTTGGAATATTAGGGTTGCTTAATCCACCAACAAATAGAAATGTCAATGTCTCCACAATTAACCATATTTCCCATAATGAATGTTGAATATTACTTGATATTTAAAGGTGAATTACCATCTATTTCCTTCCTGTAGCCTTAATTTGACTCCTGTAATTGTGTGTTTTTAGTTTGATACTTTTTAAATTAGCCCCAACCCACATGAGTCCTGGGCAACAACTCTCAAATGAATGAAAATGGGGGCTTTATTTAATATTCTTGGTGGTGGTCAGTTGTTCACACATAAAGAAAATACATGTTCAAATAATGAATTTAAGAACATCTGTATTCTCTTTAAAATGTTATGACACCTTCTGATTAGAGTCAGCTTTGCTATTTTTGAAAAACTGACTCAAATAAGGAGGATCACTTTGATACACCTCTGACCTAAACCGGTTTCCTTCCTCAGAGCAACATAAAGTTAGAAAGATATCCGCTCACTCTCAACTATCCGGGAATCACGTGGTTCTCGATAAATGCTGCAGGAGCTAGGTTCAGGTTCATGGTTCATGTAAGCAGCAGATACAGACACTGAACTTCCGGCTGCTTACAAAATAAAACCTCCATAAACTTGTGCTGTGCCATGACTCATCCTGGTAAATGAGGCAGTGGTGCCAGCGTTTAAGAAAACAGGAAGCAAATTTACTAAAACTTTACAAAAAAACGGTCAATTGTTTAAATATAACTCAAAACCAAGTTGTCACATACTAGCAATAGACACAGACACATTTTTTAGAACAATAATGAATAGTGTATAAAAAAAAAGGGTACCACTTTACAATAAGACTACCCTTATAAAGGGTTTACGAATAGTTTGTAATTCATTTATTAATTAGGTTGTGAACACTTTATAAGTCATTAATAAACTTTTATAAGACATGAGATAAACAGGGCAACTGTGACCGGTTGCTTGCCAAATAGTGAGCCCACATGTATCTGTACTGCTAAGTCTTATATTGGCTACCTAGCTTACTTCGTCTTCTTCATCAGCCAGCATCCTTGGTATCTGTTGCTCACTTGAGTTGATTCTCGCTATCGCTAAGTAGCCAATATAAGGCTTAGTCATCTTGCCAAATAGTGAGCATGTGTTGATGTATGAAAACTATGTTACAACTGGTTTATAAATGCTTCTTAAAGGGCCCATGTCATGGCCATTTCCACTGATCATAATTACATTGTTGAGGTATACTAAAATAGATTTATACTGTGCAATTTTCCAAACTCACATTGGTTTCGCATACAGCATCTCTGTCAAGCATGTGTATTCAGCAGTATTCACTTTCTCCACTAAACGACTCGTTGGAGCTCTTGCCCCCCCCCTCCCTGTGAGCCTAGTGTGCTCCGATTGGTCAGCTCGGCCACTCGTTCTGATTAGTCAACCACCAGAGAGGCTGCGCCCATGTCTAACAGTGCTTTTCCCGGCTGCTCTCAGCGTAACATCAGTCTTATCATGGCGTCGGTACAGCGGTATATTTTATATACATATATATTTTTAACTGTTGTTATAGAAGAGTGTGACGGCCCCAGGGCCTTTGTCTTACGATGGGGTGGAGCTGAAGAGGCTAATCAGCACGATCACGGACACCTCCGGACACTACGGCCCCAGTCTCTCTCCAAAGCGGCTGCAGGAAGACTAACTCTGCGATCCTCTCAACCACCTATCTCTGCATTTACCACAATAAATGTGCCGTGGTTTTGTAAACTCGTGTATGTCTCCTTGTCTTTGTGGCCTACGAGCCGCTCATAACAAAGAGTAAGTTATTTTTACCTGTTATAAACTACTACTGTTTGATGAGAAATCAAATCATGGTTTGCTATATATGAATTCAGGGAAGAAAGGATAGGCCTACTAAGTATTTCCATTAAACTTTATTTTTAGAAATGTACAAAATGAACATAAATATACATATATACACGGTATATCATCCATTCCTCCTCCTTGCATCTTGCCTGCGCACAGTCGGTGCGGTGCCTTTTAGCACGACGCCTCAGTAGTAGTAGAAGTGCCTTTTAGCACGTCATGGATTGTCCGCCAGGATCTGGCTGGACGAAATCAAATGCAAATCACAAAATATTAGAGAAACTTAGTTGTTTTAGATTCGTTAGTAGTAGTTGTGTAATGAACAGCTTGCCTGCTAATATGCTAACCTAGCTTTGTTTACCTTGGTAGCTAACACGATATGAACGTTAGCTTGGAGGAAAGGCAACTATAATGCAGTGTAATAAAACTACTATGAACAAAAGCTAGTGGTTCATATTAGGCTAGCAATAACGTGTTTATAATTGCAATCGTATACGGGTATTCTGCTACCATACAATGTAACTTGCATGAATACATTGTTTTGCGCTAGCATACAGCTAGCCTCGTTAGCTACATGCAGTATATGTACGGTCACAATGTACGGTAAATCACAGTACAGTATACTGTATGAGTATTCCGTGTGTGTGACTGCAGACATTCTCCTGCTATGAGATACATGTATGCAAGGCCATCTGCTGATATTAGAGTTGATATATGGAAACTCTAGCAACTTAGTTAGCAGTTAGCACTGTGTCAATGGCTTAGCAGTCCAACACAGTTTACACATTTAAACAGTCTTGTTTGATAAATACACAAATAACAATGCAAACTTACAGGTTGTATACCCAGATCTTCCCCTGCTCCAAACGGTCCAAACAAGCTGTGCATATCCGGCCTCAAACTGGGCAATGTTTTGGAAGCTTTCGTCTGTGAAATGCCGGTTCTTCGAACCTCTGGAGGAGGAACACGCCGCTGCTGGTGTGGCCATAGCTCTTCGGGATTGGTTCATTTCGTTCCGGGTACCGCATGACATCAGGCGGTACCCGGAACTAAATGGAAGACTCAAATGGGCAGTGACGTATCTCCAACGAGGCGTTTTGGGGAGGTATTTTCTGTGTTAGAGTTTTACTCGCTACAGGGTGTACTTTGAGGGTTTTGACTCTGCACACCGTTTACATGCATAAAAACCTTCATAACACACAAGGGGACGGGTAATAACCGGAGAAGCATGACATGGGAGCTTTAATGATTAATAAAGTGTTTACAACATAGTTCATAACTATAAACCCTTTATGAATCCTTTATAAGGGTAGTGTGGTGGCGTTTTAATCCTTGTCTACAATTTAATAGCCACCTCTATCGGGGTTGTGGGTTTTGACGCACCTCTCTTTGTTTCCAAACAAATGAGCTGAGAACGTGGTTGAATCAGATGAACTTTATTCGTTAGTCCAGACGGCATATAAACAGCAGGACACATTTCTTCGCTTCATACTAAATCAAAGTTAACAGTCTCCAAAAGAACACGGTCAAAAGACTTTTCCGTTTCCCCGTCTCATCACCATCAGCTGTGTCCTATCAACCTACCATATATAGGCATATAGCCATGCACATGATACTGACGCACATAACAAATAAGTGAGCCTTAAATTAATACATTTTAAACCATAGTATGACACAAAAAATACCTTTAGATGGTGAATTTAATCTAATTTATATTATTATCAAGCCTAACTATCAGACAATAATAACTCAATGAAAATGGCTCTAACAGGTAGTCTTATTGTAAAGTGGTACCAAAAAAACGTTATATACAGCTCCAGCTTTGAATCCAATTTGACTACACAATAAACACAGCAGAGTTTCAATGATAACATACCTAGTTATTGATTGGAGACAGGTATCAATTGAGTATGAAAGCTCATCATAGGAAGAATTTCAAGGACCTGTGAGCAAGAGGTTACATGTTTCCCCTCGCCTTACTTTGAATATGCAGAGCTCATCTGTAAAAGAAAAAGGGGAAACATTATTAGCAGCTGAACATAGAGGACTCATCTAGCTATAAAACTAAAATAAAACATCACAACAGAAGGAACAAAGATTGATAAAAACACATTCTAAAATACTATTTCAGCAATGTCAAAACAATCACCCTTCCTTTTCTTTATCATTCTGCATATCATGCACTTTCACTTTGATACATGTGTTTTTTCAGCTTTTGTACTTCCTCCACCTCTTTGCAGCACCCAAGTGACTCTGAACTTCAGTTCTTTCATTCTGTCTCAATAATCTTTGTTGGATTCACCACATTTATGGAATAGAACAACAATTTCAACTTTTGATCTTAATAACACAATATCTAAAGTCGAATCTCGTTTAAATAATTAAAAAATGCAAACAAAAAAAGGGATTCAAAATCAATCATATGAAACAGGACCACAGTACTTGAGTCCATCAGATTTTCCTTCTGAAATGCAGACGCTTCACAAAGGTCAAACATCT